TAGCTCTCTCTTTTAGAGCAGACTGCACTAAGGTTTCTCACATCCCCACTGCTTTGTCCTTGCAACAATATTATGATTTAAAAGGAAACAAACTCTTTTTTTTTTTTTAGTTCCATGACTAGTCCCCTGCTTTTTACATGCTTAACCTTAAAAAGGCACTGCGCATTAAATATTGTACTTTTTTTCTGTGTGTGCTATTGGCAGAACAAATCCTGTTACACATATAATGACTATGAAATAACATAAATACAGAAAATTACTATTTGACATCTGAATTAGTCTGAGTGGAGAAGGTTTGCTTGTTTGGGATGGTTTGTTTTGGTTTGGTTTTTTCTGGACTAGTAGAAGGTATAGACTCTGAACCTTAAAATCAAGTACCCATCCTGAGCCACAGACTCCTATGCTTATTATGCCTTAAAGAGAGCTCAATTCACAAATACTAAGGGTATTTTATCTAAGCTGCCAGGACTACAAGCTCACTCTGGACTCTGAAAGTCCCACAGTGTTCTCCTCAAAGTTGTCACCAATTGTCAAAGTTTATTTATACTTACGAGACCTTATGGGTCTTCAGATTGTATTGTAAGTGACAACTCTGAACCAGAGGAATAGTGAGAATTTCAGAGTTTAAACTGTTTGGAATTTAGCAAATCAATCTGTTGATGTAAAGGTGACATTTGTGACCAAATGGAGTAGTTCTGAGTGCATGAGAAATTGTGATGTGCAGTCAGAGGCAGACATCCCTAGAGTTATCTTTTTAGAGAAATGTATATATAACTTTTTTAAGTTCCCATCCTCATTGAAAATCAATAGTGATCACAACCCAAAGTGCCAGGAGGCTCTAGCAGACATGGTGGTGGATAAAAATTGGATGGCTGAAATTGTAGCAGCCTCCAGCTGCACCTTCTACTCCTGTGATGGATGTTACCACCCTCAAAGAAGGGACAACTGATCTGCTCATGAATGTCCTGGTCCACTGCAGTGTTTATCTAAATTAAACTGACTTGGATTCTGGTTGACTGTAATACATACACTGAAATTTGTTTTCGGAGAAAAAAGATTTATTATATGGGCAGCAAGAATGTCTGGAGAACTTCAGGAATCTGATTTTAACTTGTTGCTCAACAGTATCTGTTAATCATAAAAATAAAGCTTGATAGGCTCCATTAGGTGGCTTCAAAGGGGCAAAAATGCTTGTCTTTCTCATTCCTCCACTGGGCACCTGAAGTTCCACTCACCTCTTGGGTAGGAGCTCTGCTTAACTTCTGCACCTTTCTGAGAAAATGGAGAGTTTTTGCTGGCTGAACTGATGGAAACATTGCCTGTATCTATGTCTCCTTTTTCTCTTCTCTTTTAGCTGCATAAATATAATCACTGCAGTTTTGGGGAGGAGGTTAGCACTGGTAGGAGGTGGACAAAATTGCACAGTGCAACTAGGCACTATAAAGCAAGAAACAGGCAGAGAAAAGCCTGAGTATAGCACCATGGGTACTCCAATAACAGAATGCTTGTAGTGGAGAGGGCAACTGTCTTGGTGTTATTGTCTCTTTTTTTGGAGTCATGAAATGATGATGGTGTCAATATACAATCCACCCTACATGAGATTATGTAATAGAAAACAGTGTATTTCTCAGGATTCGTCAGATAAACATCTCCAGCCATTTTTGTTTATATTGGTGTCTAGGGACATTTCTATTTTCAGTGCTTTAGGACATATTACCTGGATGTTTTTAGGCAGTTCAGAAGTTACTGTCCTGTAGACATTGTCTGCCAGTCCTGTGAATATGCTTCTGCTATCATAAATCACCTGTAACAACACTAGAGATCTTAGGCACCTGAATCATACTGCAAGCCCCTGCACTGGGAACCTTTAGCAGTATAACAGCATTTTTCTTAGCTCGACTTCCAGTCAAATTTGAATCAATAGCTGTTCACTAACACTTCAATGAATATAACAGTGGTGATTTTATTGTATGACATCCTGAGTTTTTAAGGGGAAATCTGACTAGACTACATCAGCAGCCAAACTCATGTCATAGATAACCTTCTAGCATACTTGAGCTTTGTTTCAGAAGCATTGCTCTGATTGATAAATTGTCAGTAACTATTTTCTTCATCAAAGGAGGCACATAGTGGTCTAAATTTGAAAAGTCAGATGTACTAAATAGGAAGGAACTATTTTTATACAGCAACAGACCTAGAGGAATGATCCTTTGACTAGTAATTATATGTGTAAGTCTGTATCTGTATACACACTTAGAGTTTTAATTGCTTATATTATAACTGTCATTAGAATGCCCTTGGAGATATGCTATGGTACTAATCAGATTTGTCAAGATGAGACAGTACCTTTCTATTCTCTCTCACACATCATAAAATCTGACTGATATTCCCAAAGGGATAAAAATGCATAATGTGTCATTTATGACCTGTTGCATGCACAAATTACTTGCATTTTGTATGCAGTAGGATAACAAAATGCTATTGATTTTGAATTTGACTTAGGAAGCTGATCTTTATTGTTAGTTGTCACTTGGCAGCTTTTTCCTCCTGCTGTGAAATGTTTGATCTAAAACTTATGTTTGAAGAAATGTAAGCAGTGATGGTTTTACAATATTTTAAAAACAAGGTACACATTCTTTCCTAGGAGACAGACATTATTCATAAGCAGGATAAACATTCACATATAAGACTAAATTTCAAATAAGTAGCAAAAAACCTGTAATATGCCAATCTTGTTCTGCTGCCAGCTTTTTTAGGAGTATGCTATGGGAGTTGGTGTCAAAGGCTTTGCTGAAGTCCAGGTAGACTACATCCACAGCCTTCCCCACATCCACCAGGTGGGTCACCTGATCATAAAAGGAGATCAGGCTGGTCAGACAGGACCTGCTTCTCCTACACCCATGCTGGCTGGGTCTGATCCCTTGTCCATCCTGTAGGTGCATCCTGATTTTAGCCAAGATGGAGTTAATCTTCTCAGGATCTTGTGTAGTGCTGTGTGATTGCACTTAGGATAATCTGCTCCATGACTTTGCCAGACACTGAGGTCAGGCTGACAGGTCTGTAGTTTCCTGGGTCCTCCTTGCAACCCTTTTTGTGGATTGTTGTGACATTCACCAACTTCCAATCCTCTGGGACCTCCCCAGTGAGCCAGGACTGTCAGTAAGTGATGGAGAGCAGCATGGCAAGCTCTTTTGCCAGCTCCCTCATCCCTCTGGGATGGATCCCATCCAGTCCTATAGATTTGTGAGGATCCAAGCGGCTAAGCAGATCTCTAACCATTTCTTCTTAGATTTCAGGGGGGCTATTTGGCTTCTTATCTCTGTCTATCAGCTCTTGAGTCCAGCTGTCCTGAGGACAACCTGTCCTACTATTGAAAACTGAGTCTAAGAAGGTGTTAAGTACCTCAGCTTTTCCCTTGGGTCACTCTGTTCCCTCTCATGTCCAACAAGGAATGAAGGTTTTCCTTGCCCTTTTGCTATTTATAGAAACACTTTTTGCTATCCCTGACAGAAGTGGCCAGATTTGATTCAAATTGTGCCTTTGTCTCTCTAATTTGCTTCCTACATTACCTGACTACATTCCTGAACTCAGAATAAGTCTAGAATAGATTGGTGTATGAATTTGAAAACTCTACAGATATGACAGACTAAGTGTTAGAGGGAACCTCTGGTACCAAAATTGTCCTTCCCAGTTCTATAGATTTATGTGAGAAACATAAAGGTCATTTCAGTATCTTTTTAAAACACTGTTTTCACTTTCTACAGAAAAAGGAACAAAACCAGTATTCATTAGCTTAACAACTGAAAAAAACCATTTGAGTTTTTTAGGGAAAAAATCTATGTACTCATGGGTAGGTGAAGAAAGGATATAATCCTTTATTTATTTCTATAAGAATATTATGTTGTGATTCTCAAAGAGAATCCACGTATGTGTTGTGATGGTAAATGTCTGAAAGTCTTCAACAGCCTGTACCTTTGCTCCAGCAGTAGTTTCTAAATGCATATTTGCCATTTTCTATGTCAAAAGTGAAATTAAAATTGTTTGCCTTCATATAGAGAAGCTCTGTCACTTTTCTTACCTCCATAATCCTAGCAAATTGTCAGCTTCACAGGTCGTATCAGCTGTGACAGAAGACAGGTGAGAAGTAAAGGTCTGAGCAAACATAGTGTCACGTGATTCATTGACATTTTAGACCTCTGTATGCGCAAGGGTCCCTGAAACCACTGACATTAATTTAGGAAAGTTGGTTTCATCAACCTGATCAAGAACATATGTAACATTGTTACTGTCCATTAAACAGTCCATGTGTGCCAGCTGCTCACTTAGCTAAGTAGTACTCACCTACCAGATTTCTAGTACCAAAGGTCCTGGAATTAAATCTGCTTTGGCACTGTAATTCTTGTTTCTTAGGAGACGATTTCATTAAGTGAACAATTCCACAAACAAAGATATTTAAAAATCAGCTACAAGCTTCTTCACAGCTTGTAAGGATACTGGACATGTAAATTGTTTGTGTATCTGTTAGATAAAATGAAGTATATATGTTCTTATTGCCACTGATATGTGTCCTTGACAGCAGAATTTCAGACAAACCTCAAATAGCATAGACACATTTGCTGCATTACAGACAATGGAAGTAAACTTAATCACATCACCTGAGCATCTGGCCTACAGCCTGTAACAAGACAGTTCTTTGGAGGGTAATAATATTTTATGCTTTCATCAATCACTCTCCTAGATGTGCAGCTATTTGTGGCAGACTAAAAAATGTCATATTATAATTTAAGAGTCTGGTCATGGCTATTTCACCATGTTTGCTCCCAAATTAGTTTTTTTAGAAGAGAACCCAATGCAGCAAAATCTCCTTTCAGGAAGTG